AAGGAGAGGAATAGATTATCTGTAAGGTGTCATGTCTTTTTTCACTGGAAGATCTGAAGAGGACCCCATGGAGTCCAAAATAGTTTGTGTAGTCTGGTATCCTATGACTGGGTAAGTCCTTGCTGTGCCCCGGTCATCTCAGACCAAATAACCACCTCCTTCCCATTCTTAATCATATCCTTCCCATTCCCTACCCTGTTTTCCCGGCACAGTAAAACAAGGTGTAGGCCACAAACCCTAGAAATAAAAATTTCTTGCAGCAGATCCCAGGTTCAGCTGATATAGAAGGGTGCAGTGGAGAACTTCCATCAGAGACTGCAGCTATTTGCCACGAGCCATCATGGATAAGGTAGAGAGATAAACTGTTTGGCTGCTCTACAGATTCTTTTCAGTCCTTTTTTTGGTGATCTGCTGCAGAAAAGAATCAGAGACAAGCTTGAGCTGGCAGCCAAACTGGTTGATCTTCATTATGCTGCTTCATACAGAAGAAGAGTGCAAAACACATCCTAGCACAATATTGGTACCCCATAATATAGCTGTGTGGAGCTGAAAAGGTATTTGTAGAATCAGACACTTGGTAGCACAGGGATCATTCTGACCAACCAGTCCAGAATGCCAAATATTTTGTGAAGCCTTCACAGCCCTGGGGATGATGTGATAGGGACAGAAAGAAAGTAACACTGCAAACTTTCTCAAGTGTTTGCCTGAGTAAGGAGACACTTAATAAAACAACATTTCAGATTCTCCTGTTAAAACTTTGTCTCTTGAGTGAGAAATTAATTCATTTTGACAGTTCCAAAAGAAATGGGAAAATAGGCCTTGAGCTGCTAAACCCTTTTTCTCTTACTCCCTTTCTTTCCCTTGATAAACCTGTGCCTGCCCACCAGCTCTAGAGGGATGAATATATGAAGTATTTGGATACTTCAGCAATGGCATGAGTCCCCTAGTGCCCTTGGAAATGTCTCTAAGGGCTTCTCCTTCATTGTCCTCCATACTTCAGCAGTTGACTCCAAACAGCAAATTCTTGTAAATTGAATTTTCAGTTCTTCTAAATTGAAAAATATGTGCCAAAGCTGTAAAATTCTATCTTCAGAGCTGGTGTAAGTATCTGCTCTTGGACACTTTTCCATAACCATGCCATAGGTAAAAAATAAGGCACTGAAGAAACACTCAGAATAATATTCTCATTTCCCAGCTATCCTTTTAAAAAGAGCTCTGAGTATTACGCATTGCATGTTAGACATAAGAAAAAAAATCATCTGCCAGCACAATTTAGAAAAGCTGATGACTTTAAAGACTTTCAACATAAAGCTGCCACTGATAAAAACTTGCTGTGACTCAGCTTTGCTTTGCGTAAGAGCAGGTCATTTTGCTACTTACTGTTGATTACTGCATTTAAGCCCCTCTGAGATCTTCGAAAGGTCTGTGAACTGTTAGGAACTGTTCATGTTAAACTGTGGATCCATTAACAAAAAAAGTGATTTTCAAGGACTGGTTGATGAAATTTAAAATATAATTAAAGGTGCTCAGGTCCATGGATATAATAAATGGCCCATATTTTTTCTTATTCTACTGTAAAGCAAAACAGCATTCAAGTTCAGGGTAAAACCAGGTGAAAATATTTTCTTCAGTTAAGGCTATAAAGGTTCACCTACTTCTGTATACAAAGCAGGAGAGTTTATCTGCTTTTGTGTTCAGTATTAGACCAAAGAGTAAAGCAAGAATGTTAAGAGATTAAAGTCATAAAAAGGCTCCAGAAAAAAAACATTTGTTCCCAATCAGCTCATGCACATATATCTAAATATAAACATTATATAAAGACTATTCCATACTGAATATATTTAATAAATGAGTGTATGTGAATAATTCCATCCTAGACAGAATAATGCAGCTGGTGCAGTCTGGGCAGGTGGGGACCAGGCCTGGGTGCCTTGGTGGACAGCGAGTTGAATACCAGACAGCAGTGAGTCCTTGCAAACAAGGAACATAACCAGCAGCTCAAGGAATAGGCACATTCCTGGAAGGCACTTCCAAGGCCACACTGGGAATGCTGTGTTCAGCTCTGTCTCTTGCAAGGTGGGACTTATCAGAGAAGGAATGACAATTTTGAGACTCCAGCAGAAAAACTTTACAGTGGGCTGGAGATGGAGCTCTGAGGGAGCTGGTTTTGCTCAGCCTGGAGAAGAGAAGACTACAGAGGGACCTGATATTTTTCTCCAACTGCCTAAAAGTGTATTACAGAGAAGATGAAACTTGGCTTTCCTCCAATTGGCATATTTGTTAGTCAGGATCCTGCTAAAACTGATTTAAAGTGGAAATTACACTTCTGTGAACAATTCTATGATTCCGTTGTATTCATCTGGTCTGTTTTTGAAGTTTTCTTATTATGGTGAATCTACTATCTGCCCAGAAAATCTATGGCAGTGCTTCCTACAGGAGTGAAAAAAAAATACTCAAAGCAACTGTACATTGTGAGTGCACTAAATCAGCTTCTTGAAATATTTGCAAATTTTAAATTGCAGTGCTGTGACAATGCCTATCAGCCAGAGGGTGAAACTGAATACACTGCATTTCTTCTAGCTGACTTGAAGGAAATGGAAATAGTTAGGCATTTAAATAATGGAATTACATTATCTAAAGCAGGAGTTAGCAGCCTATTCCTTGCTAGAAACAGGATATGCATTTCAAACCCCTTTGTCAGTCCCAGTGTTAAAGCTTTAAAAAATTAATGATTAAAATAGATATGGCTGAAGAACATATGAAATTATTTCATTCCTTCAAGTAGTTCTCCATTTCTATTTGCATAAGACAGGTAAAATTATACTTGAAATACATTATTCCCGGTTTATGATATTCTAGGAAGTTAATTGCCAAAAATCCATTGTATTGCCCCAAGATTGTTATATCTGGACATTTAGGATGAACCCCAAAAGCACAAGTTTCTGAAAAAAAGAGCTGTAGAATCTTAATCTTAAGAACTATAGATTTTTTCTTCTTTTTTTTTTTTTTGATTTTTCACTGCATTAGATGGTATCCTAGCACCTAAATTTTGTTGTTCTCACAGGAGTACTAACAAATCTTTTCATAAACTTCCAGCTAATTTTGACCGCATTGCCCATCCTCTTGCTCACTTAATTTTCATGTTTGTTTTAAAGTAATGCAGATCAACCTTTGTCTGTATAAGAATTACTTTTATTTATATAATTATATTTGGAACATGTAGTTTGTTCTTTTGCCCTCAGTAACAGGCACATACAATCAGCTCAGTGGTCTCCAGAGTCTCATATTCAGCATGTAAATTGTAGTGCCTTTCTAAACAAAACAGAAATGTTGAACAGAAAACAGTGCTATACAAAAAGTGAGTATATGAAGTGTGTGTCTTCAGCAAACACTAAAGTATATGTTCATCAGATGTGTGTATGTCATCTCTTTATACTTCCAAGACTCACTTCATTTCTACTGTTAGTGACTGTGGCTGAAAGATTTTTGTCTGTAGTCACTGAAAGGACATTGTTTTTACAGAGGATCAAGACTCATCTTTTCAAGTTCTCCAGCTGACAACTTAAATTCAGTAGTATTTTTCTACCAGATAAAATACTTATATTAAGAATGGCAGAATCAAGTTGCAGTTCCCAACAGAAATCAGATAGCTGATGGGGTTTTTTTTCCTAATAAATCCATCTCTGGCACTCCCAGGATTTAGAGTATTTTCCTAGTCTTGTTCTTGATCCACTCAAGTATACTCCGTGCCATGCAAGAATTTGAGGTTAAGCTTACCCTTCACAGGTTCTCTCTTCATACAGGGTACTCATGAAGTGCTAGCGCAGCACTAACAAGATGAGGAATTGATACCTCTAAAACTGAATTTTACTTTTACCTGTTGCTAAAATATTTTTTCTAAGCCTGCTACATATCCAGATTTCACTTTTCTGGGATTTTTTTTTTCATGAGAAAGAACAATGTAACTATAAAAAATGTATAAAGACCAATGCAAATTAATATTACAGTCCTTGAAGTGGCAACAAAGCAGATGTATTCTACAAACAGTGAAAAATTCCCTTCCCCGGGTAGCATTTCTATACTTTAGCGGAAAAACTAAAAAATGAGTTTTGGTTTATAGACAGCTCCTCTTAAATTAAATCCTCTCCTCTTAGTTTATACCCAGGACATGGTGTGACAGGAAAACTAGTCTGTGTACACCTCAGAGACTTTCTGGCCACTGGATTGTAACTTATTATGTTCCACAAAAGGTAGATAAGGTGTTTAATGAGAACATGACTGTGGTACATGTCTTCCCTCATGTCTCCTAAATTCTCCTCAGGGTATTTCTATGGGTGTGAGTCTGTAAGGGCTGCAGAGGCTCATATCTAGCTTTGCTGAGGGCTGATCTCCCTTTGTGGCAGAATGGTGCCAAAAAGCTGTAAGAAATGTGTGCATTTGCATGGAGAGGCAGAGAACAGTATGCAGGAGAGCTGGGAAAGTAATGTTTCTGCAGGTTTTATATTTGAGTCCTCAACACAACCAAGCTGAGGATAAAACTGGGAATTACACTGACTGTTTTGTGTGTTACTGAAGTTAATTCAACATGGATCTCATTTCTCTTAAGAATTGCTTGAGTCAGATCTCAGGTCTATACATTTAAGTATATAAGGCATTTTTCAAAAACATTGATTTGACAGTGATTGTCCAAGTCAAAGTATCACAGATTGGACATTTCTTCATGGGATTTTAAGTGCTTGTTTCTAACAAGCATCCTAGAATATTCGTGTTCTCTTACAGCTTGTGAAAGGAATGTGGTGGGTTGCCCCTCTGTGGACACCAGCTGCACACCAAAGCTGCTCTTTCACTCCCCTCTTCATCTGGACAGAGGAGAGACAATACAGCAAAAGGCTCATGGGCTGAGATAAGGGCAGGGAGAGATCACCCAGCAGTCAAGGTCACAGGCAAAACAGATTTGACTTGGGGAAATAAATTTAATTTATTACCAATCAAATCACAATTGTTTAGTAAGAAGCAAAACCAAAAATTAAAAATGCCTTTCCACACCCCTCTCCTCTCCCCAGGCTTTACTTTAATCCTGATTCTCTACCTCCTCCTCTCAGCAGTACAGGGGGATGAGAAATGGAAGCTGGAGTCAATCCAGAACATTGTTTTTGATGCTGCATCCTCCGCTCAATGTTCTCCTGCTCAACATGGGTCCTTCCCAGGGGCTCCAGTTCTTCAGAAACAGACTCCAGTCCCTTCCACAGGGCCACAAGTCCTTCCAACACATCTTCTCCAGCATGGAGTCCTGTCTCCACAGCTTCAGAGGTCCAGCAGGGGCTTCAGAAGCCCAGCATGGGTTCCCAGGGGATCACAACCTCCTTTGGGCATTCCCTTGCTCCACGGTGGGGTCCTCCGCTGGCTGCAGGTGGATTTCTGCTCCACCATGGGCCTCCATGGGCTGGGCTTGGGGGGGAACACTGCTTCACCATGGTCTTCACCACTGACTGCAGGAGAATCTCTGCCCTGGTGCCCAGAGTACTTCCTCCCCTTCCTTCTTCTTCTTCTTCACTATACATTTATAAACATTGAAGCTATGGCCTGACCTATTGAAGACTTAATTTCTAATTAACAAGTTGCTCACAAGAGCCTCCTGACAAGATCTTGATTGATGTTAAACAGGGCTCCTTCTGATTGAGTGGGGTGTATGTTAGTCAGCATTCTTTGCACAGGGTTTGCTGGTGTGTGGAACCCCTTTCACTACAGGCTCATTTAGGTTTATTTTCTTTTTTTCTCTCTCTTCTCAGCTTTGTAGACTGATTCACCTCTTCGAATCTTCAGCTTGAACAGCAGACTGAAAGGCTTAACTAAAAGATTTTTATTTCAGCTTTGTGGTAATTCCATATGGAAGAAGAAGTGCTTGAGGTGTAGCAATATGCTGAAGGCAGCTGAAGAATTGAACAACATGGCCCAGAGTCACACTTTTACAGACACTGGCCTCTCACTAAAATGCTTAGGTCTGTCTATAGAGATGTAACTGCTCTGGCTGCAAATGTCCCCTTCTCCAATCAAAAAGAATACTCTTTAGTGCATTATAGGAATTTGTACCTGATGTTAAGCAGCTAAATACTTATCTAGTGGTGATGTGCTATTGTCACCAGTAGCACAAGGCACATAGTCTTGTGCTTGTGATAATAAAGGAGATATTCAGAGCATATACCTTTGTGATCAGAGATCTTTTCATGGCCCTAGCCCTTTCTAGGTACTTTCAGCCACCTTCAGTTTATTTATCATAATTTCCTTTCACATGTCACCCTTTCCTTTTCCCTCAAGTACTTCTGAGCCTTTCTCCATGCTACTGTTCTCTAATGAGCCCTCTGCCATTAGTTTCCATTCTGTCCTTCAAAACACTGTCATCAAACCCCTTTTATCACTTTTTTTCTTTTCTTTTTTAATGTTCAGGACATGCTACTATCTCAAGTAAATAGAAAAAACAGCATAATCAAGAAAATACTAAGAAAACCATCCTCTATACAAATCTCTAGATGTCACCATATTTTCTTCTTTGGAAATTTTAACTCCAGCTGATGTTCTGTCTTCATTATCTCCATTACAGGGTACTCAGAGAGGCCAGGGCCTATCTTTGCTGTGCCAGTATGACACCTTGTATATCTGAACCTTGAGCTTGGAAAGTGTTTGTGTTTGGCTCCCAGTCAACTTTGGGATTTATAGTGTCTTAGATATTTGGTCAGTATTTAAGTGCTTTGCAAGATCAGCAATGTATAAACAACAACTAATGCTCTCTGGCCCTCAGCCTTTGTCCTTGGCCTAGCAATCAAAAATTACTTTGTAAGGTAAGTATTTTATAAGGGATGAAGATGTGAAAACTGCTGATGCCTGAGCCAGCAGGAGGACAGCAAAGGATGCTTCCAGACTTTCAGTATTTTCTGTGCTGGTGATGGTGAGCTGCAGTTACAGTCAGAGGAAGTGAATTGTAACAGGAAAGTGTGAAGATGCCCAAGCATATTCTGTATAATTTCTCTGCTTAGTTCCCTAAGAGAAGATTATATTTCTAAATTCATTAGCCCATTTCTCCACCTTTTGTAGTATTTAAATTAGTTAATTTCAGCCAAAGTTGACAGTGGATAGGATTTTCCAAAATGTTCAACTCTAAAATCTATTATGAGGACCAGTGACTGGATAGACAGGCAAGATCCAAATGCACCATACCACTAAAGGAAATTATTTAGTTCTGTCAAATACAAATCCTTAAGAGGAGCAACAGACCATTTAGTAGCTCTGCTTTGAACTAGTCCTAACTGTGTTGCCACTTACTCATCCCAGTAGGTGTGGAGCATTTGATGCACCCTGTGAGGCAGGACACAGAAAAGCTTCAGTGATGTTGTGTGTGGGTGGAGAGGCACAGGAGGTGCAGGACATGGAATCAGTAGGAGCTGGGATCTGTTGCTACCACTGCCTGTTGACAACGGGTGGTATATTTTGATATTTCAACCCTGGAACACTGAAGAAGAAATGCTTTGAAGGAGGAATCCTTTAAAGGAGAAATACAGTAAGCATAATGTTGCCTTAAATTTTATTGTTGTTACTACTGTTTTTACTGGGATTTCTGCAAGCATCCTTATCTGTAGTTTTTCTAATACCTTTGACATAAATACCTTTGAGAATGACATCTGAGAGTCAATCAGTTAGTGGTACTGAATTCTGCTTCTCTGAATCTTAATGTAGAATCACATACTATTCAGCTAGATGAGTTAAGCAAGTCTGTATGTGTTTAGGATATTAGGTATTCAAAGTCTGTGATAAACGTATCACAAGGGGTTCTCCTCTGGGCAGTTGGAAATGTATGGAGTAGGATACACTTTAAAAGGATTGGAAAGTCTTCCTGTCCAGCCAAATTTATTAAATACGCAGAGCAGATGGGAAAGGGATTTGATAACTTGCAGAACAGCTTTTGCAATATAGGTTTATCTAATCTGTCAAAAGTTATATAACTCTCACTTTCCTGCGGCAGAAATGATACATGCATCCCATTTTGTAATTGTTTTCAGAATTCATTAAAGTTAAAAAAAAAAAAAAGAAGAGCAAGTAAAGGAAGTAACACTCTTAGTAGTTGAGAGTTCTGCTTTCATACAACTCAATGAAACTCTACCCTCAAATTACATTTATACCACTAGTTTGTGCATTTTGCCCCAAAATTAAAATGTTGGATGAGGATGGGAATCTCACTTTATTTATACGTTGGACTAAAGCTGGCTTCAAGGATTTCAGGTAAGTGAGATCATCTACTCTTATTCAATGGGTTTATTCTCTTAGGATATAGTAAGTATTGTTATGATGTACTTTAATGAAAAGTATCATAATAGAATTATGCATAAGGGCCTTTTTCATGAGATGCAAACCATATCTACTCCATGTCCCCAAATGCTAGGAATCCTTCTCTCTCAAGCTGCCTTAATTTGATTAACATCATCCCTTCAACTCAGATTAATTTGTGCTTTGCTCAAAAAGTGTTTCTTCTATCATATGTGATTTTCTTTAAACATGGAAAAACATTCTCCTTTTTCCAACAATATTATTTAGTCTAATATAAAATACAGTTTACAAAGGCTGCCTTATGCCCACTTGTATCTCTTATCATAAACACTGAGAATCTGCCTTATTATGCACATCAATCCACACATGTTGCCACTTATCCAATGTACTAATTCAAATGTGGTTTTCCAAGTAAGCAAACTAATCTGCAGCTTCTAGTATGGATTTCCACTCACAGCACAGGCCAGGAAGCAGCTCACCACTTTTAGAAGGAACACTGGAATAATGACTTTTTGCCTTTAGAACAACTTTGTAGGGTATTTGCTTTCAATTAACTTTGACTTGTCTGACAATATTACCTTGCCAGTTTTAAAATCTCATTAAAATTCTAGTTAAATATAGATACCACTCCTCAAATAAAGGGTTTCTCACTTTATTTAGAAAGAAACTACCAAAATATTTATGTTTATGTCCAATTTATCTTCTGTTCATTTAATTTTGTTAGGAAATTCAATGCTGTGATGGCATCACACTGCTCATGTTATTGTGTGATCAGTTTGATGAAGGAAAAAGCATGTGAGCCAACAAAAAGGCATGTATTTGAAATGTCCTTTTCCTTTTACCTTGAAATTCCTTTTTCCTTATGTTACATTAATTTTAAATAAACATTTTCAGCTTCCATTTGTAACAGGTCATGGTGTGCCAATTCTCTCCTTTCTTTCTTGTGCAAACATCCTGCTGCCAGCTGACCCTACTAACTGCGTGCAGGTTTGATGGCACTGATCTAAGGACCATGTGCAAGTTCTGTTTCTGTAGATCTGGTCACAATTTATCAATAGATTTTATCATTGAAAAGGATGAGACTGTGTTGCAAGACACCACAATATTTACTTGCATTCTTCCATTATTCAGTATTCAACTATTTATTTTTGGCTTTGAGGGTCAGATCATCAAAAAGCTGTAGATCTGAACAGTCTCATCAAATACAATGGGAAAAAAAATTGATTTCTCAAGCTTCAGTTTAAATTACAAAGAACACAATTTTTCAGGGCTACTGTCCTCTGCTTATTCCCTTGACAAACTTTTGTCAATGAAGAAACACATCTTGCTCTCTAATGCAAACAGTGACATTGATCATAAAGGAAAAACATCTCAAAATAGAGAAATTAAAAAGATTATGAACAGTAAACTGGTTCAAGCAGGGATTTGATTCTTTTTACTTAGCAGCTTTTTTTGCTGCCACGTCTTCAGATAACAATTACTGTATTGGATATTCCTTACTGTGGTGAGGCACTGGAAGAGGTTGCACAGAAAAGTTGCATGGCCCATCACTAGAAATGTTCAAGTCCAGGTTGGATGGGGCTTTGAGGAACTTGGTGCCGTTGTAGGTGTCCGTACTTATGTCAGGGGGGTTAGAACTAGATGATCTTTAAGTCCCTTTAAACCCAAAACATTCTACAATTCTATGATTCTCTGATATGTTATCTAAAATAGAATATTATGCAGTTTTTTCTGAAAGTGGACTGTGTGATATGCTGCTGCTGAGGTACAGTTGTATCTGGACTGCATTTTTCTTCCTGCCTGTTCTTTTTGCAGTTTTCTAAGCTACTCATTGAATGATGTGCAAATACCTGAACATTTATTGCAGAGGAGAAAGTATTTTATTTCAAGGGTCAGTGGACTTTGTTATTTTATTTTGTTGATTCACAAGTTTATGTATGCATTAACTAAGAAAAAATATTTTATTACCAGTTTGTTTCTTACTTGTTGGTTTATTTATTTTCAATGGATTTTGTATCTCAGAGGTATTTGCTTTGTTTTAATATAAAAGATACAGTGGAGCAATTTTCACATTATATCAATTTTCTCTGGTCTATCTTTGGAAAAATCAATAAAATGAGATGAAAATAAAGGCTGTGACTCACTGGCTGATATACACAGAAAAATGGCACTTTGAAATGCATTTTTTAAAAACAACTAAGTAAAGATTCTGTATGGTTTGGTTCAGATTTGCTCCCCCAACAGATCCAAAATCCATGGTGACCACTGACATCGTCACAGAGAAATTCCATGCAAACCAGCCAGAGCAGGGTGCCACAGTGTCTCTTTTTCAGCTTTAGATCACATTTCTATGGAAGTCATCTTCCGCAAGCTGACACTGATATCCAAGAGCTGAAAGCCTCGCTGTGCTCTGGAAGATCAGGATTTCCTCTGGCAGGTTTCTGTCCTGCTGCTGAGGGGAAGTTGGACCTGGGGGGCTGCAGGGTGCATTGGTGTTGTCTGCCTGCATCGTCAATCCACCTACAGTGCTTTTGGAGAAGTGTGTGCTCATTTTAAAAGTCACAGACATACTTGGGGTGGTTTTAATATGGATGAATTTGCTGATTTACTGCCTGTCTTTCAGTGGGGTGACAAGTAATTCAATTTTCTTTTCCTCCAGTTGTTAAAATGAAATGCATATTTTATGGCAGGGCTGTGGGATCCTTTCAAAACTGGTATTTTTCATCACAGCTTATCTTGATCCTAATAGGAGCATGTTGCTCCTAATAAAACGTTGACATTTTATTTGCCAGAGTGTTTGCACTCTTGAAAAAGAGATATTCATTGGCTCTTAGCCACTCTTCAGTGCAGCATTACTTGCCCTTAGATTGCTATTATGTACAGCATTGTTGGTATTATTATCTACCAGGATTATTGCTGCTCAGACATGAGATGAGCTGTGTTAAGGGCTGTCTGCTACAGACTAATGTAAGGCTTCTGACTTCAAATATTCTGCAGTAATTAGACATTTTAACCAAAGATTTTGTTCTACCTTTCAAAGAACATTATGCTCCAAATATAATGAAGCATGGATATCTTAACTTCCACACTGATGTCTTCAAAAATATTCTCCTTTTTGTTTCTTGATCTTGTTTTGGGCTTCAGAATTACTTTCCTCTTCATTACTCCCTGTGGAGGGTGAATTATTTATTCACATCTGTCTTGTCCCACAGGCTCTTCCATTCATCAGGTATTCACAGTAGGTTTGTATCTCTTCTCCTTGATCCAACTAGACTTCCTGTAATTTCTCAAATTTTGCTTTAACGAAGTTGATTGCCAATCAAGAATGCAAGGAGTATAGACTGTGATTAGACACATGGAGATCAGACCCACAAATATAAGTGTGCTTAGACTATACTTGTATAATCAAGATATTCTGTGAAGCATCAAGTAGATCTTAGAGCAGCAGTGGCAATTTCTGTGAGAAACATTATATGAACTGTTAAAAATGCTCCAAAACAGGGTCTGATATCACACAGCAGCTGCTCCATGCTGCTCCATCCTGCTCCTGTAATTTTTAAAAGAGATAGTTACCATTTAGGAAATAGAGCAACAAAAATTAGGTATAGCAAGACATCACAACAAAGATTTTCTATGTTGAATTAGATTCAGCATTAGATTAGATTCTTTGACTCTGGATTTTTTACTATCTGTAACAGAAGTTTTTTACTCAGAGGTCAGGTTAGGATGGATTTTGTTCACATTTCCCCTGGACTTTCAAAACCCTTTGAAATCCTGAATTCCACAGCAAAGGACAAAGTACTCACATAATTCACTTCTTGAGCACTTAATTCTCAAACTACAGACCAGTTTTAAAAGGAACAGGCACACAGTTCACATGTGCAATTATATATATTCGTAAATTTATTATGCGCATATATATCCTGTAAGTGCAGGCTGTATTAAAAGATATAGCATTTACTGCTACATTATTCCCCCCTTTATTCTAGCACATCTGGCATCTTCCACAGAAAAACTATAACTTTTAAAAAACATCAATTTAAAAAATGTTGATCACAGAGTACCTGGGTGTAATCACTACTATAATTTGCAAAGTTAAAACAAATGAGTGACATGAAAAACAAATGTAAGGTCACTGAAATTATTAGGGTAAGGCACGTTGCAGCAGCCCCTCCAAACTGCAATGGAATGGTGCTGTCAGCCTCACAAGTACCTCCCTTGGCAACAAGATCTTGTGAAGAACTCCTGTAGGAGGAAATGGGCATGGCAGAAATGTAGCCTCTAGTTCTGACCCATGACGCAACAAGCTAATTCAAATTGGCAGAGGGAAATAAGCTGCTAAAATGTGGGAGGCCTGAACTTCTTATTTTTAAAGCAAGACTGTACGTTTTATACCCACAGCTACCTCAACAGTATTCCAGTGTTTTGTCCCTAAGTGTCAAGGGAAGCCATGGAAAACAAGAGGAAAAACAGGGAGTAAAGGTTATGCTTTACCATGCTGGCTGAATTTTTTATAGCCATCTTTGTTGAAAGAAATAATCTAGAGATTTGTGGAGGATTGGAGCAGGAAAGTAATGAAAATACTAATACATTCTGTAAACTACTGAACTGTATATTTCTGAATGGTCTTTTTATTTTCTGCCTATTTTCCTTCCTATCTCAAGTTTCTATTCTGCAATAAGTCTTTATGCTAATTAAGAGAGGCAGGAATACTTGCTTATATGCCTTTGAATCAAAGAGGATGTTTGTGCAATGCAGAATAGGATGCTGTGATTTATATTGGTTTTCTGTGCTGTAGTTTTATTTTAGCATGATGGAGCCTTGGTTCTGGTTTGAGTGCTTAGTGATAGACTGGGCTGGAAGGAGCTTTCAAATAGCATTCCTCTTTTGTATAATAAGAGAATATGTCATGGTAATGGTTTTGATAGCTCAGCAGGTGTTCCAGTCTCATACTTCTGTGGCAGAGGGAAAAAATGCAAGTTAACTCAGGGTTCCCATTGTGATTGGAGTGTGTCTGTGAGTTACAGTTAGTCCATAGGGCAATCCTATATAATTTTGCTTGTGCGAAGAAGTATTTGAATGTTCATTGTCTTTTTTTTGTTTTGTTTTGTTCTAGTTTGTTGTGCTCTTGTGTTTTCCTCTCTGTCACTTCCTGATTACGCTGTTGCTAAAGTAAGTCATGAAGTCTAAGCCTTCATTTCAATGAGTTATGGGGATGTATATATGGATTACAGTCAATATGGAAATTCAATAAAAAAGCAATTACAGATAAGAATGTCTGCCAGCTCCTGCTTGCAAGCTGTAAATAGCTGATCAGAGACTGATTTCATCTAGTGAGTCAGATGCTTTTCTTACAGTTAATCGGTTCAGATAATATTTTTTGTAGGATGAATCTCACTCCCCAAATGGAGAGAGAGAATTGTTCCATTTTGACAAGACCTCAAACATCTACTTACATTTTATGCTGGGTTTGGCTGGGGTATAGTTACTTTCTTCATGGTGGCTGGCATGGGGCTGTGTCTTGGGTTTGTGCTGGACCCATGATGATAAAACAGAGATGATTTTGTTCCTGCTGAGCAGAGTTTACACAGGTCCAAGGCCTTTCCTGCTGTTTGTTCTGCCATGCTGACAAAGGCACTGGGGTGAATGGGAGGTTGGGAGGAGGCAGGACAGGTGACTCCAGCTGACCAAAGGGATATTCCAGACCATGGGACATCATGCTCAGTGTGCAGTGTGGAGGGAAGAAGGAAGAACTTGGGGGACTTTTAGAGTGATGGTGTTCGTCATCACAAATC